TCGTGACGGTAGCAGTCTCTCTCTCTCTCTCTTATATATATATATATATATATATATATATATATATATATATATATATATATATATATATATATATAAGAGAGGGAGAGAGAGAGAGAGACTGCTAATCCGAAATTCTCGAGTTCGAATCCAGGTTCAAGTCAGTAGAATGTCCCCAAGTACACCAAGCTCTGATGAGTACCTAACTCACTTAGGAACTCTACTTCATCTGCTCCATGTGTCTTTGTGTCTTGGGCACGAACAGGTAAAGATTATATATATATATATATATATATATATATATATATATATATATATATATATATATATATATATATATATATATATATATATACATTTATAAGCCCCCAGTCCAAGATAAAAAACAAAAGTCTAGATCCACTGATGCTCATTTGTAGACATGCGTACATGTTCACAACATTCTGGGTTTGCGTGTGCTTTTTGATGTGCTTACGTATGGTTGTTTTTAGGTGTGTGTATATGCATTTATGGGCAAATATGGGCAAATTGAATATGTAACTAAAAATGTAACCTACTCTGATAATTTGGACGAGTTGAACTTGAGGGCGAAATCGCCGAAAAACATCAGAAGCACCCTGTCATCGGCGACGTTTTGACCCCTACACAACAGCCACAGTAACCAAGTCAGGTAGATGTACAGGCTCAGCATATCTCGGTTGTGTGATCTAATTTCAAATATTACAAAATGACAACATATCGTAGGTTACAGCATTCGTGTTGATCTCTAGCAAACACAGAGATTATTTTTATACCTTTTTTTTTTTAATTTTTTTTTTATTTTTAATTTTTTTTTAAAGAACACAATTTAGAAAAGCAAAAAGTGGGATCTCAAGAGAAATGATAATTTTTATACCCATTCTTCTTCTGTAATAAAATGTAGCGGTAGCATTTTGAATTACAACTTGTTTCTACTGTCAATCATACTTCTAAGTTTTTTCCAAGCTTTAAAATTTAAATAGTTTAAGCTGAACAAGCTGTCAATTAAACAAATAATAATTACATGATATTTTTAAATAAAATAATATAACTTTAAAATATATAATAGATGATACCTTTAATTTAATACAACGAATTCTTAGCACATTTATCAGTAAATAAATAAATTACAAGAAATAACTAAATTCTCAAAAATTGATACGTGACTCCCACTTTATACTGATTTATCACCCATCAAGCATTGGTACAGGTAAACTTGTCATTTTTATAATTCCTGTGTAATTTACGATTTTTAGTATAAGCCATTTAGGTTATGTTGGCATAATTGAACTATATTATTTTTTTACCATTATTTTACATACGTCACTCAGTTTATGATTATTTTGTTTTATATAATAACTCCCATAAATTAATTGTAAACAATTGTTGCATTTATTTAGAGTTTTAAAAATGTTAAAAATACTATAATATATTACACAGCAATTGTAAAATAATTTGTTGAAAATATGCATACTTACAATAATAAAAATCGTGTAGTTGTTTTTTTAACACAGGGCTAGTAATTTAAAAAATAATAATAATTGTGAGTCTATTGTCGTGGATTTTAAATTACTTGTCACTCAAGAACAATAACTCATGAATTAACAGAGACATGCACAATCGTTGAGATTCTCATGTGTTTGTATCATAAAGTTTGAAGCTGAAATATGAACATCTAGACATCTAGACTAGACCAAAACTATTTTCACACTGTCAGTATTACTACGATAGATGCTGAAATATGAACAACTAGACACCCAGACAAGACCAAACTATTTTCGGCCAGTCAAAAACTCCGGAGAGGCCCAAATCGAGACCACTCGAGAAAAGAAAATGTTGATTTAATTAACGCTAAACCTGGGTAGACCCGGTAGAAGGCGATCCCATTGGAAACTCCAGGTTTATTTAGCCTATACGTGGGTTATTTATACGGTCTATGGGTGGGTTACTTCAAATATCTTTTTATATTTAAAAACAAGGATTTTATTTTTGGAAAATGATGGTTGGACGTTTTATTTTTAGAACGACATGGCGGTCAGTGGTTTTGTTGAAACTCTGGGGGTCAAGTAGATCAGAGTTTCTTCTATGCATCTCTTCTACCGCCCCCCCCCCCCCCCAACGAAATGGGATTTATATAGAAAATATATACTTTTAACAGTGTGTCCCGTCGTCCCTCCCCCCCCCCCCCCCCGAAAATTTCAAATTTCAAGGGGCACCATGGTTGATCTTATAATTCTCCAAGGTCCATCTCGGTCCTGTGCCGCTCTGATTAGTTCTGAGACGGTCAGCCGTGTCCAATCCTTGATGTCATCTATCTTCCCCTTCTTCTCCCTCCTAACACAAAGACTTGAAATGTTTTTTTTGGGCATGTCGTGTGTTCTTGTGACAAGCTTATACCATCTCAGCTTTTTGTTTCAAATGTGCTCAGTAGAATCTCAAATGGACCAATCACATTAGTGATCCTCTCTCGGTTTTCTAGTTATGTGATCTCTGTATGAGATCCCTAGTAGTTTGTTTAGCCATCTCAATTCCAGGGCCAGGATTCTTCTCTGCAGGTCTGCGTTGTGAGTTCGTCCCTCGCGTTCATACAGAAGGACAGACACCAAGTTTATTCGTCCCAAAACGGTGTTAATTGTTTGCAAGTTTATTTAATGCTTTGTGAAGTAGTTGGTAACAACTTGAAAAAAATGTATTCAGCTATGAGCCGTCTAATGTGGTTAAAACAAACTGATGTTCATTATAGAAAATCCAGAGTTCGGATTACTTATGGATAGTAAAATAAAATAAATCTTAAATAATTGTACTAAAGTTGTTAATTCTCGTCTGTTTTATAACATCATGTTGGTCACTAATGTGTAGTTTGTAGATCGGGAAGTGATGTGTGATTCATGGGACACACTGGTACTTTGTAGTGATGTGTGATTCATGTGACACCCTGGTACCTTGTAGTTCAGGAAGTGATGTGTGATTCATTGGACACACTGGTATTCGATCCTACGACTGTTTGCTGGGTGACATGTAAACACCTGTTAGCTTGTTCATCTATACATTCGCCTTGTGTATCAAGAAACCCATGCGTTTATCTACCTGCTACGTGCGTCAGATTAGTATAAGACAGGTTCTATGGGATGTGAAGTGGTTCTGGACATTTAAACTAAAGCCAATCCATCCCGCACTTAAGTCACTCGTCCTCACCAAAAGTTGATTCCTTAAAACTACCACCCAAAGTCCGCACCCATTAATTTATCTAATAATTTAAAGACAATTAAAAAGTTGTTTATTACTTTTATTTCTAGAACGAACACAATGTATGTTTCGTCACACTTCCATATATCCCCACCCAATTCCCACCCCCACCGTCTCAAAAATCTGAACCACCCCTTCCTTCTTAAACCTCATCGTTTATTCTCGACAACTTATTTGTAATTCAAAACTGTAAGCCTACTTTTGTAAGGGTTTAAAAGCTTCGTAATTCTTTAAGTGAAGTTAGAGTTTAACACCAGTTTCTAGAGTTTAACACTAGCTACTAGTTTTTTACACTAGATACTAGAATTCAACACTAACTGCAAGTTTTAACACTGAATAGTGACATTAGTGGAAACTAAATCTAAAGTGTGACCGGTAACTTTTATATTAACAAATAACATCCCCGAAATGTCAACATTTATCATGTTAAATCCATATTTGACTTTTTTTTTAACAAGTCCCAAGTAGATATTTTTCTCATCCAACAGACGGATACTGGTGTAAGAATAGTGTATGATATTTGCTATAGGAGTTGTCAAATATGGTTGGCCCGGTTGTGTGAGTATGTGTGTATAGGAGTGTGTGTGTGTATAGGAGTGTGTGTATACGTGTGTGTGTGAACAAACGCAGCGTGTTGAACTACGTCATCACTACACACCGGCAAGGTAAACCCAGAGTCAGGGAAAATTTGAGATTGATTAAACATTTTACGGTGTACTCTATACAAATTTATGACGCGATTTCATCATTAATCAGATATTTATATATTACTCAACGCCTTTCTCTGATTACATATTTCCATACGTTATATTAGACTAAATATCCCCATATGTTTTATCAGACTACATATTCCTATATGATGTGTTTATATTGTTCCAGGGTACATATTTCTATATATTTTACCAGCATATATTATAAGACCTAATTCGGCGGTGTTTCACCCTAATCCAGTGGTTCTAAAAATAGATACCACATACCCCTTAGGTGGGATTTCTTTCAGACATCCCAACATGTAAAAGGAATTTAAAATTTTAATGTAATTTATATACATATCTGTACCTCTGAATCATCATTCTATCGTTATAAACTTGTCACAAAACATGTATACGGTTTAACACAGTCAGTCTTTTAAAACAAGTTTAATCATTTTAATGTATCCATCAAACATGAAATACCTTCTTTTTTTAACTAAATTTGAGTTTTTAAAAGACAAACACGATAAGAGTTTGATATAAAAAACATTTTCAACAAATAAGCGTAATAAGCCATTTATATTAAAAACTCCATGTCGTTTACTTCAATACAAAGATATTTTTTTAAACTGAAAATTATCAGAGTATGTCCTAATCATATTTGCGCGTATGGCGTTCACAATTTTACAGTTCTTCGTTGTTATTCTGGTTTGTTGGTTGTTTTTTTTTTTACTTTTTCGTTAATGGAAAGTAATTAGTACGTTGTGTTTTATAAATTACATTTGTGAAAAAGATTCGACTTATTCTCAAGAAATTTTCAGCTGTAGATTGAATCCCAAGTAAACTTAAATTGACTTATTAATATGTCTTTGACCATTAGGTGCAGAGTTTCTTTTAGACTTTTTTGACTCGGGGAGGGGGGCGGGGAAGGGGAAATAAAAAGTTGGGGGGGGGGAGCGGAGACGTTCTTCAGAACGAAGAATTGCCTGAAAGAAACTCAGATTTGGTGTATAAACTAGAGAGTTTTAGCTCTTGTTTGAATTA